TATTTCAACGTTTGATTGCGGAAAACGTCTTTTTCACATATTTTTAAAGTAAAATGACCAATATACCCTCATATATAAATAAAACAAAACAAAAAAAAGAAAAGAAAAGAAAAATAAAGAATAAATTGCAATATTACTCCTAAACTTTTTAAAAAAATGCAAATGAGTCCAACATTTATGAAAATATTAAAAATAACAAAAAAAAAAAAACTCTTTTGCCCCTAAATCGCCCGAAATGCCTTCAAATTCCGACGGCCATAGCCGCTGGACTTGGACACAGGTCGAAAATCCTCAACTTCCCCTTCAATTAGCAACTAACACCTTCCAATTCCATCAACTATACAGCTCGGAATCACTGCCCAAAGTTTGCTGCTTGCGAATCTAAAAATCGTCGAAAAATCCACCTTCGACCACCCCCACGATCGGAACTCTACACCGATCGAATGCCCATCACCAGGCGACCCCATTCATGTCAACAATTCACCCCAAACATCATCACAGAATCTTGAATTTATCCTAGAAGTTATGAGCACCGATTTTTTGCACAAAGCCTTAACTGCAGCCTAAAATTGATCTCGTTCTGGACGAAATTGAGGAAGACCCATGGGTGGGCTGTGTGCATAATGTGGAGGGAAAGGCAGCCCATGTGGTCTAGGACCATGGGTCAACTGAACAGAATCAAAATTTGGGATCTTCGGACCTAGCTGTGCGAATTGCGGGACCGGCGTAACTTTTGGGATAAATTCGAAATTATGTGATGATGTTTGGGGTGAGTTGTTGACATTGATGGGGTCATCTGGTGATGAGCAATCGACCGGTGTAGCGTTCCGATCGTGGGGTGGCTGGAGGTGGATTTTTCGGCGTTTTTCAGATTCGCGGGCTGTAAACTTTGGGCAGTGATTCCGGGTTGTATAGTTGATGGAATTGGAAGGTGTTGGTGGCTGTAGGTTGCCGGAACTTTGAGGCATCTTGGGCGGTTTAGGAGCAAAAGAGTTATTTTTTAAATTTTTAATATTTTCATAAATTTTGGACTCATTTGCATTTTTTTAAAAATTTATGAGTAAGATTGCAATTTATTCTTTATTTTTTTTGTTTTATTTATATATGAGGGTATATTGGTCAGTTTACTTTAAAAACATGTGAAAATGACGTTTTCCGCAATGAAATATTGAAATATGGGTGAAAATGCCAAAAATGAAAGGTATGGATATTTTGCACAATGATATTGAAATGTATGGACATTTTGTATTATTTACCCTTCACAATATAATGCAAAAAATGAATGGATAGGCAAAACGTACAAATTGTCAAGAAAGGTTCCGTGCAATGATTTTCATGGATTTAGATGGGTACCATTCTTTATTAAACTCTTGTTTGACGATTATTATTTGAAAATTCTTTTTTTATATATTTATTTTTAATAAGATTCACACAATAAAATATTTTAAACGTAAACTCAAAATTTTTTCCTATTTTTTAACCGTACATTATTCTAAAAACTATTGTTCAAAACATTGTTTTTAAGAAAAAAAAATAGCCACAGACAGTGGCTTAGTGTCAATGGATCAAATTTTAATTTTAACCATATATTCAATGAAATTTATAATTTTTATCAACTTTTCAACATGATTCCATCAACTTTTTATCAAAATTTACTTATAAAAGTTTTGTCAACAACCTCTAAATATATGATGTGTAGAATGAAATTGTAATGCAAAAGTTTTGTTTGAGTCCTGTGAAATTTGTGAGTAAAAATTGGTGTAGATATATAGACTTATAGACTGTTGTCAAACTATGTTTAAGTTTTTGTTTCATAATTGCACTTATTTTTTTATTTTATTTTTTTTCATTCCAATTGAATATCTTGTTAGATGCAAATGAAGTAGTATCTGAACTAGAAGTATATGTGTCTGCCATTGGGTCGCCAAACCCACATGAGATCAACAATGGTGAAGGGAAATTAAGATTGACAATGTAAGACATGATAATCCTTTGGAGTACGTATGTATGAGCATCGTCTACAATAAATAAGGTGCACTTCATCAAAAAATATTTAACACGAAAATGACGAAAGAGAGAAAAATTATGGAATATCTCGACGAGTTCAATGCAGAAATCTCTTTCAATGATGAAATTCGAGACTTTTTAATTCTTGGATAAATTGCACATTCAATCCTAGCATTTGTTCAAACTAATCAACGTTGAACGTGCAAGTATTATAAAATATTTTATGAGTATTGTAAAAGTAATATTTAAATGTGCGTGAATGTTAATTAGTTTAAAATTAATATCGGTGAATATATATGTGACAATGAATGTTAAATTATTTATTTAATTTTCAATTAAGTAAAAATGGATGTTAATTAACATACATGAACGTAAATAATGGAATGCATTCTTGAATATGAAATTCTAATTAACTTATAATTAAAATTAATAATACTGAAATGCATAAATGAAGATGAATTTAAATAAATGAACGTGAATATTAATTAATTAAGAATTAATATATAGGAACATATATATTAATGAAAGCACACATGAAATGAATCTGTTAAATAAATTAAATTCATATTGAAAACCGAAAAATAAGATACTATTAAAATAATTGAATGATAGTACGGTTAGAATCGTCCAAAAAAATAATTCTCACTTAAAGTGATATTTAATATATTATAGATTAGCAATCACGTACCCAATTTTATTTTATTTTTTTCCTTCCACCGCAATCACGTCCCCAACCTTCTATAAGTTAGTAGAGTTTGTCCCTGAAAATGACATTGTTTTGTAGAGAGGTTTTAGTGAATCAATCATGTTAGTTACATGTACACCATCTTTGAATACGAAGAAAATGCCAAACAAGATGCAAAGGGGGAACATACATTTAGGCTCCGTTTGATAGCCTTAGTTTTTCATGGAAAAGGAAAACATTTTCTTTTTCCACCCTTAAAAAACTGTTTG